ATACACAAACACTTTGTATTTGACTTTTTAAGTCACTATTATCTGCTTTTCCATCATTTCTCTTCCTTAACTAGAATAGATGCAATCATTTTACAATACATGTTTTTGTTGTTGTTGTTGTTGTTGTTTTTTTTTTTTTTTTTTTTTTTTTTTGTGGTACCGGGCATTGAACTCACAACCTCGCACTTGCCAGCGGGCGCTTATGCCACTGAGCTAAATCCCCAGCCCACAATACATGTTTTTGCAATGATTAATTTTCTTTGCAGAAGATGCTAAATAAGAAGGAATGTTCTGAGATAGAGAGAAGTGACACAAATCACAGTTGATTATCTATTAAATATTTAACATTTTATGGACCCTAATAACCTATGCACATTCATTCACCTATTTCTCCATATTATCTGCATGTAGGGGAAGTTATTTACCCATGCATGAGCTGATAACAGAAATTCAGCAGCTCTAAGATGATTTACATTTTCCTGTGTACAAGAAAATATGTATGGCCTCTCATTTTTCCTGGTGGCCTCAAAAATAGTTTCACTGTTTATTACAAACATTTTTCCCTATCACTATTAGTTTTTAAATTTGCATTTAAAACCTAGCAGTCTATATGAACCTAATTCACTGTAAATTGACACGTAATAACATACCTACAGAATACACTATGATGATTCAGCACACACTGGCAATGTACGGTGGTCAAATTTGGTAATTCACATTAGGAATACCTAAGAATTCAGTCTAGCAGTTAAAAAGCGAGACTGATCAACAGGTACTGTGTACTCTATATTTTCCTTTTATCATGGTTTTTCCTCTGCATTACCACTCTTCTCTTACCACTCATTGGCTACCCCGTAACTGTTTTTCCCTACTTTCCTGGAACTGGCACTTACACCTCAGTGGTACAGCACGTACCCTAGGCTATCCTTTCTCTGTGCACCATTAAGTGTATCTTTATGAGATGATTTTCTTGTTTCTATTCGCCCTGGCCTTTAACTGAGAAATACTAATTTGCAAAATGAGGAATCTGACTTTAGCCATGAATGGATATCTATATGTGAGAAGTGATAGGTAGCCTGTTAGCCAATGAAATGAGTCTCTTCAATTTAGGTGTCTAGGCTTGTGCTTCTAAGATATGCTTGAGAGAGTAGGGCACCATATATTTCACAAAAACCAAATTTCTCCGCAAAGTTTTTTTTTTTTTTTTTTGTCTTTTTCCTTTTTATCGGTACCAGGGATCGAACTCACGACTGCCTGCTTGCAAGGCAGGTGCTTATGCCGCTGAGCTAAATCCCCAGACCCTCCGCAAAGTTTTTGTTCAGATAATTTGTAGTGACAAGGGCTTTTAGAGTGAGAAGCACTTTAGTATTTCTAGTGTACTTATTTTTATAGGATATTTTTGGACTATATTTCTCTGTAGTTTATATTTCACTAGCTAACAATCAATTAAAGATACAGAATTATATATGCATTACAAAGAAATTGAAATGAGACACACTACAGAAATACATCTTTAGTTCTTAAAGGAAAATGATAGCTCTTTTCTAAAATGAAAAACCACTGAAATAATCTAAACACACACTAAATGTTACTATGCCACTAACCATGCAAATGTACATAATTATTTAGTTTTGAGATATCATTTTGTCTTCAAAGATCAATTAAAACTCAATACTTTTCAACAACTATGTAGTTGTTGAATTTGTAAGAATATGTAAATATTATGCTTTTCTAAAAGCTGAGGAAATCTGTTACTTAGATCCATCCTCCTTGAAATGGTAAAAGAAATTCTCCAGAGAAAAGGAAAATTACATACTTGAGAAACTTGCATGTACAAAGGGCAGAGAGAGAAGCTACCTTGGATGACACCCTTTGTGAACACAGGGTGCCTTTTACCCTATGCTGTTGTATCCTCCTTTCTCAGCACCACAAGGACTTGCCCAGACATCAACGGGCATCCTCTGCTGTGCATGGAGACAAGCTCTTAAAAAGAATGATTCCAAGAGACAGAGATGCGCTTCACAATGTGTTAGTCCACACTCTCGGGACTTAATAGGCTCAGCTGTCACATGGCAGAAGCTGTTCCTTTACAGGTTGTGCTTTTAAATTTTTTGCAAGACATAAAACAAAAGGCAAATTCCAAGTGCAAGAATTATATGTCTTTTATCTGTCCCTTCACTGTGTTTATTCTTTGCTTTACTAGAGAATTGCTTTCAGTGAATACTTTAATATTAGAAAACTTGCTTTCAGACTTATCTTTAGGACAATTCGTATTCAGCAACTACTGTATTACAGGAATTTTGTGACAATAAACCTTAATTGTCAACTACACTGAATCGAGAGAGACTTGCAGAGACAACTGATCTTGGGGTAGTCAACTGTGGATTAATCACTGACATTCAAGGTTGGAGTATCACTGGACTTGGGTAGAGAAGGTGGACTGCTGGGACTTACCTTTGGAGCATGTATCTCTCCTGATGCTTTTCTCCTGTATTCTACTTCCTGCCTGCCAGGAAGTGAGCAGTTTTGCTCTTCCACACCCCCTCTGGCATGATGTTTCTGCCTTGGAGATACCCGACTATGAATTAACATTTCTTAAACTATAAAGACAAATAAATTTCCCCTCCTTTAAGTTGTGGATGATGAGAACTGTATTCTAGCAAAGAAAAAAAAGGCCAATATAGAGATTTGCTAACAGACAGTGGGGTCATTGTTGTGATTATACCCGACTGTCATGATTTTATGCAGATGTCCCATCAAAGTCTCATGAGCTCATAGGTGGGACTTTGAGAAGGTGATTGGAACATGAGTGCGTGAGATTCATCAGTGGATTAGTCTGCTAAATGTGACTTGGGAGGTGAACTCTGTTTGGATGAGGGACGTCACTGAGGGTGTGGCCTTACTAGGCCTATTCTACTCTCCTCTTTGATGCATCTCTGTGTCCTGCTGCTAAGTAATGAGCTATTTTTCTCTGCCATGTCTCTTAGACATGCTGCCCTGCCTTGGAGCCACCTTTCTTTGAACTGAAACCTCCACAGACTGAGCTAAAATCAACCTCTCCTTTATGAGTCTCATATATTGTGCCTCAACAACAAAAAATAACTAGGACCAGTATAGAAAATTGCTACTAGAATGCTTGGCCACTGGTATGATTATATCTGACAATGTGGTTCACAACTCTTTGGTAGTAGTTTGCAGAAAATATTTGGAATGCTTTGGAGATAGAAGCTAAAGAAATCCTCAAATGCTTATAAACAACTCTGATTGATTCTGCAGACCGGAATGCTAATAGGACTGCAGAGAGTAAAGGCTGCCCTTCAGATTTTAGAAAGGAGTGCAGATTCTATTGGGGAATGGAGACCAAGCAAGTTACATTCTGACAAAAAACTCATCTACATATTGTCCTGTCAGGAGACTGAGGAAGACTATGTTTAAATGTGGTGAACTAATTGATCTGTTTGGGGAAATTTCAAAGCAGCTTAACATTCAGGCTGCAGGTTTCTTTTAGCCAGATGTACAGTGAACATCGGGAACATAAACCAGAGCAGAAAAGTTTCAATAAGTCACATCCTGGCCAGAAAACAAGTGTGTGTAAGCTGAGGGAAAAGGATATGTGTTTCTTGAAGAGATTATGAAACTGGACAACAAGAAAGATGCCTTGAGGACATCATGAGTCGCCAACACCCAACCTGTTGCAGGACTAAAGGTGTCCAAGTATAAACTTTCCATTTGAGACTCTGGGCCCAGCTCAAAAAGGTACCTAAGGAATTGTTTCTCTAGGATTCAGTTCATTGTTCTTATCCATCCAAGTACTCGGAGGCTGTTATAAGCATGTTCCAGAGGCACGCTGGCAGAAAAATGTGGAATGATCTATACCAGTGATGTTGAATCTTTTAGAGCTTCAATGATAACAAATATCATGATAACAAATATCTGGCTGCAACATATAGGTTTGCCACAACTGGTCTATGTGACACTGTATTTTTCCCATACTTTTTAATAATTTCAATTATATTGTTCTGTTGAAAATTAAATCAGTTTAATAATGTAAAAAATATGTCTTACCATGTATACCTTAAACACAACTTTTAAAACTTGCTTTCTGGTAATCAAAAGTGAAAAACAACAGAGATGAAAAATATTTTTTCGCTAAAATGTTATTGTATGTAAAAATAAATGATGACATTACTATTTCAGATGAGTTGATGGAGTGCTTAGACCTGTAATATGGGAGAATGAAATGAAAAACTTCTTAAAAATAACAAAGGAACAAACAGCAATAATACAAAGACAAGAAGATGATAAGAGGATCCATAACTTAAGGATTAAGAACATAAAAGAAGAAGTAGGGACACAAACAAGTGAACTACAAAAGCTACTCACAGAAATAATCCAGGAGAATTTTCCTAATTTAGCAAAAGGTAAAGATACTCAGATGTATGAGGCATACAGGACCCCAGCTACCTACAACCCAAACAGAGCAACACCCAGGCATATAATAATAAAAATTCCAGAAATTCAATACAAGAACAGAATATTAAAAGCTGTCAGAGACAAGAAACAGACCACTTACAAGGGAACACCCATCAGAATTACAGCAGATTTCTCTGCACAAACCATCAAATCACGAAGAGTGTGGGGGGAAATAATTCAAGCTTTGAAAGATAATAATCTCCAGCCAAGATTGAGATATCCTGCACAACTGTCCCTGGAAATTGATGGAAAAACAAGGTGCTTCCAGGATAAAGAGGAACTGGGAGAATTTGCAACCACCAATTCAACTCTACAGAGAGTATTGCAGGATATTCTAAAAAAAGAAAAATACAAAGAATCCAGAAATAATGGCAGAGAGGCCACAACGAATGGAGCAGAGAACAAAATGAAGAAGACAAACTGACAGCTACTGACAGAAAAAGAGCTCAACAGAAATGAGGCAGAGAAGACTGGATGATAGGAACTGACCGGAGCCGCGGAAGACAGGAGGCCAAACTCGAGCAGGATCAGCTCTCAAACTTTATTACGTACAGCGAACCGGACCTAACAAGGTCCGCCACCCTCAACGTTGGTTCCTCTTCCGCCGTTGGGGGCAGGAACAACCTCTTATAAGGGGAAGCAGTATCCAATCACAGAGAAGCGCGCCTAACAAGCTGATAGGCTAGCGTCACGGGTAACTGGGCAGATATGACAATTTGGCGGGCTTGTTCAGGCCGGGAAGAACCCGGAAGCAGGAAATGGGCGCCATTCATAGGCGGCTTCCCACATCTCCCCCTTTTTTATTTATTAAAATAGGATGGTCTGTGGGTCCCTCCAAGGTGTCTATGACCTTGTTGCTGTTAGACACCTAGGAGTGGGCCTACCTTGTAGGCCGAGGCATGAGAGAATGTAGAGGTCTATACCCTGCTGTGCATCACCCTGTTTTGTGCATATCCTTGCGCCAGGACCATGCTCAAGGTGAGTGGTTCATTTTTTCGCAGGGCCAGGCTTTTGTGAACCGAACCTGGATGCATATAGACATTCATTCCTGCCTTCCCCCCAACCTTTGGGGCGGATGGCACTGCAGTACCCTTGGTCTCGCATCTCAATGCCAATAATTTGACTCCGGGAGGGACCCCTGGCCTTATAGGCCATGTATATCTGAGTGGAGCCTGTCTTAGGTTGACTGGGAGGACGTCTCCCGTCTTACCCGTCATTGGCTTGCCCACTCAGCTTTTATAACTGATGTTCTGCAATGTGAAGGAGATATGCAGCGGCCTGCTGGCCTGATGGGCCACCTGCTGCCATTTGCATGGCTGCCATAGCTGTGATCTTAACCTGCTGCTGAGTTTGTATGAGGCGATCTAACAAGCATTTAATAACCACAAGCCCTACTAGGATAGCCATGGCAATTAGGATCCAAAAAGAGGTAATCGTGGGACAGAAGGAAGAGAAATGGAGGGTCAAGGACTGTTTGATTGATGGTGTAAACCCTGGGTGAGGCGGGCGAGGCCGCCGAAAAAGGTGCCAATGTGGGCGGGTGGTGCCAAGGACCCCAAAGATATTGTGGTGGTTCTGTGGAATCTGAGCATATCACAGGGGTGATTAATAGGAACCCACAGAATAGAAAAAGCTCCAAACCAGACATTTTAGTTTGTAGATGGTCTCGGGCGCTGAGCGTCGATCCCAGAAGGGTCGAGTTGACTTGTGTCCGCGGGCTTATCCTCCTGTGCTTTATCAGGAACTGGTGGGGAGTTTACTGCTCGCGTCAATCTTTCCGGGACCCACAGCGGTTCGCAGCCTGGTTCCTGTGGGAAGACACAAACCGCACCTCGGGTCCAGCTAATCACTGGATCCGGGCCCATCCATTGTCCTGTAAGGACATCTTTCCATCTAACCAGCCCTTTGTCGGTTGGGGACGGATTGCTATGTTCCATGGCAGGGGAATGATTATGGTAAAGAGTGCCAATGATATTCTTCCTTTGGGCGTTAGGCCATGGCCTATCCCCTCTTTTTGCTTTTGTAAGACACCCTTGAGTGTCCGATGTGCCCGTTCAATGATGCCTTGTCCTTGAGGGTTATATGGAATGCCGTGCTTAAGGACAACATCCATTTGTTGACAGAATGTTACAAAAGTTTTGCTGGTGTAAGCAGGACCATTGTCTGTTTTTAATATATTGGGCTTTCCCCAAGCAGCCCAGGCTGCAAGACAATGATTAATAGCATGGGTGGCCCTTTCTCCAGGTTCTTGCCTCTAAAAGCGCCATGGTAAATGGCGCATTGGGCCCATAAGCTGAAACTGCGTCCTTGATAGCTTTAAGTTGTTTAATTTCTAAGGGCTCATAATATCCTCCTCCTCCCCTGCCTCCTACTTGTACCGGGAATGCATGGAGACCGGAACACTCAAAGGGAAGCCGCGACCATACCCTCTGGTGGAAGGAACGTCCTCCTCCCTCCCCAGATGGGGGCGCAGAAGGCAACCCAGGAAGTAGCTCTCCCTCTAACCAGGGCGGTGCCATAGGTTGTGGTGGCAGCCCAGGGAGCAACTCCTCTTCCGGCCACGGCGGTGCAGTGGGGCCTGGCGCCCTGAAGGGAGCGACCATGGGTCGCGAACTTGCCAAAGGGCGGAAGGGCTTAGTGGGGCCTGGCGCCCTGAAGGGGGTGATCGTGGGTGTTTGGTTCCCCTTTTTATCTTCCCGAGCCCTGAATTCCTCTTTAAGCTGTGCAGGAGGGTCCTGTTTAGCGAAGACAACCTCCTCTTCTGAACCTTCCGAATCAGAATCAGAATTAGAGCCCTGAGGGTCCTCCGGAGACCCACAATCGGCAGTGGCTCCGGGCTCCTCTGAGCATTCCGATCGAGCTCTATCAAAAGCCTGTCGGGCTGTATTAGCGAAGCGAAAGCAAAACAGATGCAAAGGGAAAAGAAAAGAAAAAAAAAAAACCGGCGTCCACTCGTGTGGCGCTCAAAATCTGTTAGGTGCGTCCACCCAACCCAGGTGACCCAGTACTCACCTGTCCCGGGAACCGCTGTATCTCACGTAGCTGATCAGGGTGAAGAGAAGAGGTGCTCGCGGCCTTCCGTTGTTATTGGGCCAGGTCCTCCGTCGTACCGCAGGCGACAGCAATCGCACCTCCCGGCCAAAGAGGCACGTCGCTGAGTCTTTTACCTTTTTTCCCGAACGGGCCACCAGATGACCGGAGCCGCGGAAGACAGGAGGCCAAACTCGAGCAGGATCAGCTCTCAAACTTTATTACGTACAGCGAACCGGACCTAACAAGGTCCGCCACCCTCAACGTTGGTTCCTCTTCCGCCGTTGGGGGCAGGAACAACCTCTTATAAGGGGAAGCAGTATCCAATCACAGAGAAGCGCGCCTAACAAGCTGATAGGCTAGCGTCACGGGTAACTGGGCAGATATGACAATTTGGCGGGCTTGTTCAGGCCGGGAAGAACCCGGAAGCAGGAAATGGGCGCCATTCATAGGCGGCTTCCCACAGGAACAGCTATTTTGGAGAAAATGACATCTTAATAGGTAATACTGATTTAGTATCATTTTGTTTTGAAGTCTCATCTAGCTTTTGTCCTTCTGTCTCCAATGGTCTAAATAGGCTGTATCTTATTGGATTTTATTATGTACGATAGTATAAGCAAAAACCTTTTAAAGACAAGGAGATTATATAGAAACCATTGTTCATTTTCTGTTAGTCGATTCTAAATACTCTGTAATGCTGTCATTCTCTTGAATGGTTTTACATAGTTTTGATATACTTAATGCTACAGTATACGAAGTTGTACTCAAGGATTTCAAAGAAAGAGACAATATGGTAACTACTTTTAGGTTAGGATTATCTGGTGGTGAAACACTATTCTGTTTAAATGGTTATGTTTTGATCTGCACTGTTTCATTGTTATGCCCTCTTTTATCTCAATCTCCACTCCATTATTTACTTTTTTATCTTTATCCTTTTAATTAAAGGAAAAAAATAGCAGGATATATTATAGTAACCCACTTTGACTTTTCATTACCTTGATTTAAAGCCCTGTATTACTCTCACCATCTGGTTTTTAACTGATGTTCCCCTATTCTGTTTTGCTGGATAGTATCAGGTTCGAAAGTTTAGGCATCAGCTGTGAAGATAATGAGATTCATTATGACGCCCATTCTTGTTGACTTTTATCTACTTTTGAAGACCTACAATGTCTCCAATGTTTTGGTTTTGTCGGTTTTATTCTTTACTGTTTTGTTCAATTGTATTATAACTAACGATATAGGCAATTCTATTAGAGATAGCAGGAGGCATTATGGTAACCATTGTTGATCACCTTGTATTATGTTTTTACATTATCTATTATGTCCACCCTTTTGACTTGACCGATTCTGTTCTGTTATGTCACATTTGGTTTTACTCTCTTCCAAAAAAGTAATAAGAACCATGGGAGCAATGAAACCCAAAATGTGTAATAGTCATGGTACAAAAGAGAGGAAAAGAAAGTGCTCCAAACTATATAACTGCATGTATATTTAAGTGTATAAGATAGAAAATGATATCACAGAGTTTTATTGGCTCAATGAACAGAACTGTTTGCAGTATCATTGATGGAATGTCCACTTTACAAGCTTTAATTTTGTGACTTGAACAATTATTTCTAAGATGACAATATGTAATCCATTAACTAGTGATTTCCTACTGTTCATTTTTTTCTGTAAATCTGTATAACTTGTACCCTTTCCCTGCTTTTTTTTTCTTTTCTCCTTAAATAAAATTTTAAAAAAAAATCAAGTTCTGTCAATAATAAGCATAGTATTATATGTAATTTTAGGTATAAATTAAACAGTATCCAAAAAATTATTATGAAATGATATATAGTAATTATCAGATTTTATTCAATTATAATTATCCCTAATAACCAGTATATGGCTATTTTTAAAAAGCCACTTATCTTTTTAATTACAGTACCAAATTTTTAAATAAAACCACATAGCTATTAAATTTTAAAAGTTATCAAACATAATTACTGAAGCTCAAAGAAAAGAAAATAGAGTTTTAATTATAAAATTCCTGTCTATACTGTAAAAAGCCTTCTATTTCTCTGGTTCAGAGCAACTGCTTACTACCAGTTCAAGTTAATAGCCACAGTACTCCAATATGAGATACTCACTGTTGTGTGACATAAAGTGGGGCATAATCTGTAATGGTTATTAAGGATTTCGAATATTATTCTTAACTACAGATCCTGTTGCTATTACTATAATTTATCCTTTATAATGTTCTACAATGGCTAAAACTAAATCAAATAAGTAAAAAAATCAAAAAGAAAAGAATAGACACAAGAGTTAATGTTTTAAAACACATATTATTTATTTTAAGAACAGAAGAATAATTTAAGGATATATATTCTTCAATTTCTTATTCTATACAATGTTACTGCATACACTGGATCTGTGTGTCTCTGTGTTTTCGTTTAATTAGCATTAAAATCATCTCATTTTTAGAAGTCTTAAAGAACTAAAGCTAGTCCTTGAAATTTTTCAGAGTAAGATTTACGATTTACTAGAGTAAGATTTAGGGTTTACAAGAGTAAGATTTGGGATTTACTAGAGTAAAATTTAGGATTAGTTCTTCATAGTAAACACAAACACAAAGCATTCACCTATATTTAATGGACGTAAAAATGCTTCAGTATTAATTTAGAACACCTATTGTGTTATAAAGAAAAAATTTATTTATGCACATTCTTTTGTTTTTTATCATATTACTTTGCTGGAGTTTGTAAGTATTTTTGAAATATTCAACACAGAATTCTTTTTTTTATTTAAGAGAAAAAAAGGTGGCAGAAAACAAAAACAAAAAGCAAAAGAGAATACAGTGTGAAAATTTAAGGAACAGTAGTTCCTAAATTCCCTGATGTATTTATCTCTTATAAAACTAAGCTTCAACCATAATCTTCAGAAATTAGTCAGTTTTACTTCATTCCCAATATCAGCAATGTCATGTGATCTGTATTTTGAGCACCTTTTCTTTCCAATTTCCAAGAGGGTCATTCATTTCTGAGAGCCTAAATTACTGTATTAAACAAAAGGATACAGTACTTCAGTAATTTTTGCAATATCCAGTAAGGTTATTTTTTTTAATTTTTTACTCTTACTTGTTGGATCTGAGAAATGTAGTATTTAGATCAACTAAGATATTAAAATTCTTTCACTGCATAATTTTGCCCATGATCACAGCCTAATTTTTTACCAGATCCTCGCATTCTGGCCAGACAAATGACTCTCAGCATTACTAAAGCTTTCTGTTCACTAAGAATTCTGTAAGAACTGATGTACAGGAGTCACAAATAATGCACATAAAGAGTGCACATTTCATATTTTCATACCTTTGAGCCAGCCATTCCGTTTCCCTGAAAAGGTGGCTCTTTTCCAGATGTGTTGCAGAGTTTATAAAAAGGAGGTGACTATTTTTCTCCTCACTCTCAATTTTCTATCACCATAATTAACTCTTCCTCTTAATATTCTTTCACAAAAAATTACAAAAAACTACATGAGGACACTTTCTGTTGTGTAGTCTGATTGCTAAAAACCAAGAATGTTTTAGGCTAGAATATCTCTTATAAGTCTACTAACAGGGCATATGGCACAAAGTAACATAATATACAACTTGGCTAAATTAAGTTCTAGGAAATACTTTTTAAAATGAATTATTTAGTAATTGGTGACACAAGAAAATGTTTCAGAAAATTATTATATTCTGTTTTCACTTTTGAAACCTAAAGTTATGCTATTTGCTCAGGATTATTTTCCAAATTTACTAAAAAGAGTGGCTCAACTCCTAATAAAATAGCCAGGGATGATTTTGTTCACAGGCATGCTCTGAATATCTACCCAAATAACTCCAATGGCAGGATACCACTGTCCAAATGGCTACTTTAAATGGAGAGCAGAGAGAAAGGTAGAGGGACACAGACTGACCTATGGAAATATGAATTAATTTCCTATGTTTTACGTAGTGCTTTATAGGTCTGTACAAATAGTTTTAGTCTTTACATTAAGACAATATTTCCAACTAAAATACTCCTAGAAAACACATTTTCACAGAAACATGAGATAAACTTTACACTACAAATTCTCTACTATGATTCTATAGTTTTGTCACTCACAAGATATTCATAAATCCAACTGAAGTTGTGTCTAAAATAGTTAAAAATGGCCACTTAAATTAGCATGGGTCAATGAAAGGGAATTTTAAAATTATATGCTACTTCAAATACATTTAATGAAAAAATTTTAAAGTGTGTCTCAATAATAGTTTAAATATTATAAACTGATATATGGGCCCCATGGACTTTTAAGTTATTTAATCTTTTATATCTAGATTATTTTAACTTTTGCATTTTAGTAGTTTCTTTTAAAGTTCCTTCTTAGTGATTATTTCCTTGCTTGTTTTAGTCTGTAGGTAGCATGAAGGAAAACTCCATTAAATAGTTAATTTTCTTCATTACAAATAATAACTTAAATACTATTTCTCTCTATTCCCTTTTATTTAAGGTTAGGATTAGGTTATACTGCCTCATCTACATATGTTATAAAATTAGTCCATGTTCTCCAGTTTTCAAATATTCCTACTGTTAACAATTTCCATATATGTTTCTTGGGGATAATCTAGAAGTAATATAGCTCATATTATCCATAATATTTCAATTTAATTATGTATTTAACCTACTTTTTAATGTTTGAATTCATGTGTTAGTTCCCCCCTCCATAATTTGATTTCACAGGTCATCAATCTTTATTCTTACAGAGCAGAATCTTAGAAAAAGTAAAAAATAACTTGCTGTGAAATAACCATCCATAAGTGTTCCAGATTAGGGCACGTCTCTCTAAGGGTTTTTGTTGTACTATTTCCTAGCTCTGTGACCTTGCAAAAATTATTTAACATATCTGAGTTTAAATTTTGCATCTATAAATTAGGATAAGTTACACTTGATATATAGGACTAATGTGAGTAAAATGTTTGAAGCAAAGTCTAGTATGTGATAAATAATAAATTTTGATCACACTTTCCTTTACTTTGTCATTTATTTTCTAATACAGTCTTCTCTTTCCTGTAGTCCTCCTTTTCCTTCTGGTAATATTAACATGCAGTGCCCAAACTGTGTATTTTATACTACCATTAAAATTATCAATGGGAAAAATCTAAATTAGTCAAATATAACACAAAAGTGAAAAGTACTCCCACATGAGTCAGAATTATCTTAGCATGAGAATTTATTATTCACTACTTAGCTATTGTTATTATAAAACACCAAATATCTGTTGGTATTTTATGTTATTTTTTTTTATAACTGGGATTCTCCACTGGAGAAACAGAAGTAAGGCATAATTCAAAGGACCATTGCTAAAGATAAAATGTGAAATGTTAGGGACTATGTCTATCAAACAGAAAACTGTAGCGTAAGCAACACTTCCTCAAACAATTCTGCCCTATCTCTCCATAACACATTAAAAGTAGTTTAGGAAAAAAATCAAACTGACAGCGGCAATCTCACCTGTGGCTGTAAGTCTATGCCTCTCCTGGCTACCAGTTTTCTCTGAAATAAAGCTTAATCAACATGCACATAATTAGCAGAGAAGATCAAAAGCTTTTTCCCCCACAAATGATTTTTATCTATGATACTATGAAGCCAGTGGTAAAATTTTATCTATTTATAGTAAACAAAAAATAGGAGTTCTGAACTATCTACTTATTGGTTAAGAACTTAGAAATTGTTTTGTTTACTGAGAATATATATAAATACATATTTTTTCAAGTTATATAGATAATGAAAGAGTATACCACATAAAAGATTCATTAACTTCTTAATGACAAACACTACATATTGGTGGTTACTAATTTTCATTAAAAAAGGAAAAAATCACATCTTACATTAAAAGGTTATTTTTCAGAGGTAGTTTAATGGACTATCTACTAGAAAAAAGAAAATAAAAAATAATAAAATCACAGAATATAAAATAAATCTAAAGCAAATAAGGTGTTAAAGAGAGGAAGATTCAACTCTTCATAGGATTTTTAAAAATGCACATTTAATGAATAACTTTTGGTTAAAATATTAAATTCAAACAACATTTTAGTAAGATGATAAAAAATTAAAATTATATTTAATTTCCAGATTTAAATTTGGAGATATACTACAAGAAACAAGGTAAATAATATCAACAAAGAATATGATACGAAAATACAATTTCCAAGAGAAAAAGTTAAAAGAGATGTAGCAGAAAACATCTGTTTTTATCACTGAATATTTTTTTAAATAGAAAAAAAAAAACTAAAAATCTTCAAAAGAGCTCTTTCATTTTAGGTTGATATAAAAAAGTATTATGAAAAGCTGCAGAAAAGATAAAACATAATTCAAGTACTATCATAGGTAAGATGTTACTTTCTGGAAAACAGTATTACAAAAATTATACATTTTTGTAAGCTTTCAAAAGCAACTATTTCCAGTTAACAAAAACCTAAGCACGAAGTATCTTTCTGCCAAATTAAAATACTATTTTAGTAGAGTCCTAATGTATTAAAATCCAAATTGTTAATATTTTTACAATCTGCTTATAAAACTTAGTTTTATTTTTCCAAATTCATAATTACCATATGTAACATTTATAAAGAAAAATGTCCTGATATTACATATCAAAATTTATTTCTGAGGAAAATTTGTATAAGCAGAATTCTAACATTACTATGTGTAAAACACAACAGTTACTGTAATATAGAAGAAAACAGAATGTTTACATATAAGTGCCATCAACTTGTCATTTATAGTTTAATCTTTTCACATGATTTTAAACTTTATACCAAAAAGGATATAAAAGAGTACCAAAAATCTGTTTTTTCATTTATCCCAAGTCCCTAAAACCTGATGAGGATGAGAATTTTTTTTTGCCTTTTTCATTTTTAACATACGTAAACTCACCCCATTTATTGGATACGTCTTCCATCCTAGTTCACCCAGCACAGTAGTTGTATCAAGCAATACAACTGAAAGTGAACAGATAAAGCTTGCATGAATTTCTCAACTAAAAAATACATTAAAGTTATTTGAATAATTAATATATTATAATACTTGTTATTTAAATCATCAATAATCATTAATATCTTATTCATCACATTTCACAAGTTATAGTATTCAAAATTTTTTCCATATGTATGAAATATGTGTGCATAATGACAGCATTGAGTGATGATAAAATGCATGGTGATAATTTCAAATGCATTTAGGTTTAACAATGCTGAGTAAAATAGCTAAATGATACAATTTAAAGAATCATTTTTATTAACAGATTCTTAAAACTAATATTAACTTTAAACTGAGGAAATATACAACTTTGCTTATTTTCCTATTTTAATAGTCTTTTCAGTCAACATTAACAAAAAACACATTTAAAAGGTTTCTTTTTAATATTATTAAATGTGCATTAATAAACAGCAAAGTATGAAAACGCTTATGAAAAGAACACTATGCTTAAGAATAGATGCCATTACTGCAAATAATAGGTAATATACTATTTGCTAAAAGATGGAAAAGCAAAATAAAAGCTACACTGCTTTCTTTCACTAACCTAGAGTAACCATCATCTGGTCAAAAAAATAAATCAACTAAACAAAATAACAAGAATAAACTATATTAAATTATAAAATGGACAATTATAAAATACACTTGAGATTAAGCCAAGGTTGAAATGCAAATTTGGAAGAATTCACAAAGAAGATTAAACCTGAGCTAGGCCAGAACAAGATAGTCTTCAATTAGATGTGATGACTGACAGACAGACAATTTTAAAAAATTCCTCTGGAGTCAGAAATAGGAATGGGGATTATACGGGCAAAGTAGGAGGACAGAAAGAAATCTAGAAAGACAGAGAGTATTTTTGCTATGTTTACAGTAGAAAAATATGTAACTATCAAAATTTAGCAGCTCTACACTTTTTCCAGCGCTGGATCACAGGCACAAGGTAGGGCAGGCAATGGGCTACACACTGAGGAGACAATGATTATGTAGCTCATTATTGGGTTCAGTTCACCTTGCCAATGAGGAAGGATTCTTTAAGTGCAGTTTTTAAAATTTTTTCAACATTCTACTTAATCACTTTCTCTACACTTTACATTTTTTGAAAGACATGTTTGCTATCAGGATATCCTCTGAGGCATAATGTATTAACCTGAAGCCATAACTTATCTAGAAAATACAATTAAAAGAATAAGCAAAAGTCCTTACACATTAAAAATTGCATAAAACTGACAGATTTATAATTTGATATGCAGAAGACCCTAAAACCAACCAAACAAAAGAACAAACAAAACTAACTGAGAAAAAATTCAATAAAGATAAAACTGCAACTTTCATCTGGGTCCAGGAGTGCACACCTGTAATTCCAGCTACTAGCAGGCTGAGGAAGGAAGACTGCCTGGGCAACTATCCCAAAACGAAAGTAAAAACAGATGCAGGTGTGGCTCAGGCATAGAGGCCTCCTAGGTGTGATGCCTGGTACTACAAAACAAAACAAAACAAAACAGAACAAAAGAAAATTCTTCCTTCAATGTATTAAGTGCTGAAGAATGACATTTTCTTTCACCAGGAGATTGATCCTGAACTCTCAAATTCTCAACCCAATTTCAACTATGTTCTAACTTTTTCTAGTTAGCATTTTTCTCAGAACTGGGAAATATTAATGACTGTACATGTGGGGGTGTTTAAGATTCAAGAACACCTGCAGTAAAGCCACTTGCAACTACTTTTATGTGGTCTTCTTATCTGTGCTGATTGTTCCTCCAAGGCTTAAGCCTCTCTTTCCCCTTCTCTCTTTTCCACCTATAACTAGGCAGGTATTACCAATTCCTGCTCATGTCAATATCTCACAAGTGGATTTGGATGATTTCGGTTTAAATTGCAAGGGAAGAAACACCATTTAAGACTGTGGTCCATTATTTAGAATTCTACAACTGACCTCTTGTCAAGAAGCTTATGATTAGCGCACAAGCTGCTTTTATGTGATTTCTAAGTGGGTATTTTATTTTCTCATTTCCTATTCATCAATGTATTCATGACACTTCAGAACAAATCTCAGATGGGAAAGAATGCTGAAGAGAAAACACTAGGGTTGGCTGAAGTGTATCTTGATATCCAAAAAACAATAAAAATAATTAAAAGTCAACTGGGAGAAATAGTTGGAATTAATGTGACATATGTAATTTACATATTAATAATTTAACCTTATAAAACTGTGTTTCAATTTAAGAATAGTTGGCAGAGATAAATAAAAGTCAATTCATGTAAAATATCCCCCACCTTTGAACTGGACTGGAATAAGTTCATACTTTAAATTAGAAGTGGAGAGCAACTAAACTGAAAAAGTTAATCTTACATTTCAAATACGTCAGTAAAAAATGTACGATAAAGTTGTATGTATGCAGACTGATATTAATCAGCTTTACCAGCAGATTGCTAATTTTTCAATTAATTTTTAAAATTCCATCATTTGTTATCAAGAGACCTGTAATTATTATAATTATTTTAGAAAAACTACACTCTTTTTTATGGGAACAGAGAGGAACAAAAAATGTTGGACATTAAAATAGGAGTATTATTGTAATTTAGAAACTAGATTGATAGTTTTCAATGAATTCTGACATTCTAAATGTGCAAATCTAAATGTCAACAGCTAATCATGGGGAATCTGCTATTTGAATTATCTGCTTAGAAATAAAAAGTACTGGCACGGTTTCCACTTATATATGCTTTTCGAGGAACATTCTCAAATATAAAACACAGGGTCTTTCAAACTGTAACTTAACTAATTTCCAAAGACAAATATTAAAGAATACCAGTAATTTCCAAATTCTAAAACACTGTTAGAATCAAAATGTAACAAACTTAAGAAAGAGAAAATTACAACAAAGCAAGAATTTTACATGATAGAAGAAGACAAAATGCAATGAAATATTTTAAATTATAGAAAAGTAAACCATAAGATCCTGTCAATTTTGCAGTTATCTAAATATTAAGTTAATAGGACATATGTAACCTTTTAAAATACAATTTTCTGCTTTTATATTTTATATTTTTAAGGAGAACAATAAAACTTTCAATAAGAGGCCAAATCATAGCATGTACTTACACATTCTATGCTCAGTGTAAGAATTGTTCATTTGGATTTTTGTCTTTAAATGTAGAATGTGCTAATGTTCCAGTGCAGAAAAATTCAGCAAATTTACTTAAAAATTGAGATCACCGGGAGTTACCCATCCTTATTCTCACAATTTTCACATATACATGATAGTAAACCCTGATAAATATGAGACTCGTTGTAATTTCTCATGTGTAAATCAAGGTTATTTGTGAATTTTTTAATATTTCATTTCATCTTTGCTATATTGCTGGTAGTATCCTGACACTGGGTACATCTCTGCAATTTTGTAACACTGAGTGGGAATGAGGAAGATTTTATTTTATTGCTAGTAGTCACACAAAGTCATATCTGAACATGATTGAGATGAATACACTGAATATTTATTCTTAGTGCCTCTGTATCTTCCGAGATCCTTGGCAGCAGTACTTTTATAACTCTATATAGTTCAAATAATACTTTCTACATACATATTTTAATTATTTCAGTGACATATAGTTCCATAACTTAAATCTTAAAACCCTCAGAAGTTGAGAGGCAGTGGTTCACCTTCATATTTCCTGTGCCCAGCCCAAGCAAGAAACACAATGACAATATACTGCATTTCATTTATAAATTCAATATATAAGTGAGTGAATACATGAAATTTAACTAGTCGGAAAAGCCTGGAAAGTTTATAAAGAGACTGAGAACAAAAGTGTTGATTTCTAAAAAAACAAAATAAAAATGAATAAAAACTCCAGAGGTAAGTATATATTATAATGAAGACATATTTGAGAACCTGCAATAGTATCACATTGAAAAATTTATTTGATTTTAAAGCCTTGGTATCATTTTTAGGAAAAAATATCGCTTAGCTCTAATTAATCTATTAAAATTTTAGAATGCTAATATATAAAATAAATCCTTAAGTTTCTATATTTCTAGATACTAGGCATGTAGAAAAAATAAAAAATAGATCATCCAACAATAGGTTTGTGCTTATGAACTAGCAAACATAATACAAGTTTTTCCATTTGCAATTTTTATTAAATAAATGACCAAACTAAACTGCTATTTTAATAAAGTATAGGATTTTAATAAAGTATAGGAGCCGTATGTCTTCTAATCAACAAAATAAAGTTATTATAACACTATCAGACAATGTTATACTTTACATGTGTTCTAGCATAGTATAAAATAACATAATTGGAACAGAGCAGCTTTTTAAAAGCCACATTAAAATAATGATGCATAATGACATTTCCAAGTTTTCTTGATCTTTTTGTTTAGACAAAATTAAAGTCTCTTTCCAATCACTCCTTCATTAAAATGAGCATTAAAAATAGCAAAGGTGACAATTGCCTTCCTCCATGAAATGATCTAGTATTCTAAAACTTTTCTGGGTATTAAAATCTTGGTTGTTTCAATTTGTTTTTGAGGCATTATACTGACAAATTATAGAGGGAGCAAAACATTTTATTTCAGAAACTGATAGAATTGATTTATGATTTATGCACTGAAATCTAACAGTTTGATCATTTATTTGTTAACACATGTAATGACAAGCCCTACTAGTTATTTTCACTTGCATTCACCAGACAAATGATTTTATGTGTACTTTAATTTCAGAGAAAAATAAAATAAATTTTTAATATTGAAAAAGCTGATTCAACCAAGATTTTCTTCAATGGACATTTAGAGAAATCAAAGGGTCTTAATCATTTTATTCAATATATATTATCAAAGAAAATCTTTAATCAACAGGCTCACTTTAAAAATACTGCAAAAATGAAGCTTTTTCTCCACGTCTATTTTCTCTGATGTTTCATGTTTACTGATACTTAGGCAATACATTATATTTAAAAATCCACTTATGTAACATGTCAATTCTCTGAATACCTCCTTTACTGGCCTCTATATAAGTGCTCTAAATATTTAACTGTAATTATTTTTAGCAATATTAAGTTCTCACAGCAATATTAAAATTGAAAATATCTGTCTCTACAAGAAAAACTAAGGTGTCTTTAAGATATAATTTAACTCAGTTTTGGAGGCAATTATGTTCAGATAATTATTTTGGAATACATGATAACACAATACATTTCTGTTTTCTAATTAGAAAAATGTTTCTCTTTATTAACTTGTTTAAATTATATTTAACTGCTATTCCCACAGATAGGTATAATTTTATATTTGTTTTAAATCCTGTGACATTTTAATATTAACAATAAGCGCTTTTCCTTATGCTAGATAATACACTCAATGTACTGTTGAAAGAATGTATACCCATCTGCAAGGCTCATGTACAAGATACAAGTATTAGTGTGTATCAGAATCATGTGAAAGAATATACTTATGCTATTGTTACTAAGAAATATCATAAATAAATTTTACACAAGTAATTGCATAAAGTGCCTACTTTTTGTTAGATCCAGATTACAAGATTATCTAAATTATAATAGATAAGTAACATGTTAAATGGTTCTTTCTAAGGCCATAATATTATAATATTTCGTATGTCCCATGATCAAAACTTGTCCTTTTTATCTGAAATTTTTAAATGATTTTCAATTAATCCACCAAGTACAGATTGCCAGAAGGCCAACAACTAGAGGACTTGGAAAAGTAACTAGACAGATATGCTATTATGCAGAACAGGGATTGAAAGAACACACTCTGATGTTCATGTAAAAACATAGTTTCACTGATGTCTGAAACTTAAACCTGTACCTTCAACATGAATATTAATTTTAAAAATTATTCTCTATTAAATCAACTATAGTAGGTCATTCTAATATCACTTCAACAAATGTTCACATGTCAGTCTACAGAAAATATGTGAAATATTTTTGTAGTAACAAATACTGTATGTTTTGAAAATGTATATTTGCTCACTATATTTTAACACAATTAAACAGAACATCTAATAAAGTTAATATAAGATTCTTATGAAGTCCTTATATACAAAAATGTAATAATATTTCTTTACTCCATTTTCTCTCAAGCAAGCTCATTTACTGTAATGGCCTTCTTCTAAAAATCAAGTGCTGTAATCTAAGAGTAAATATCAATCACTTAAAGATATGAAACAGTAACAGAGAACCAAGACTAAAGAATGGCCTTAGTAAGATAACCATGATGGTAGCCTCAGTGGCCATTATGATAACCATGGAGTTTGTTTACATGTGGGTACTAATGATTTACTTTCTCAACTTTTGAATAAAAGATAATCCAAAATAATATGTGATATTTTCAAATAAATGTCACACAAAGTGTAACAGTGTTAACACATGTTATCATACAATAAACATGTTTTCTTGCTGATTATACATTTGATTTTTAGAAATTTTTATTGCCAGATCCAGAAACAGGCTGAAACCTCTGCACTGGATCATTCCAAGAAGACAAGTTCTCCTTGAATATTTATATATAGGAAGTACACTGCCTAGTACAGAGCACAGTTCAGATCTATCTATCTCTATCTATCTATCTATCTACATATATCTGTTTAAAAGAATATTCCCATTTAAATATTTATCACAGAACTTGTACATACCATAACAATCCACAGTTTTTGTTGAAAAGGGATAATTATAAAAAATTTCTGGAACATTTTGAAACACAAAAGTGAGAAAATCTGTAGAAATAAGCTGGACATTTTTATACTTCTACATACTATTTTCATATAATTTTAGCAAAAGGCAACTCAGAGTAATGAGTAAATAACTTGTCAAGGAAGTTCAAACTGCATAAAATTTAGTGCTGTTCAGTTAAAGTTCAAAAGTTTCTTTTCTTGCCTCAGTCCCCAAGAATTCTACCTATCTTTAAATTTCATTAACTAGGTCTAAGATTTCCTAAAAACTTATTTTTTCTCTTTAAAAAAAATCCAGAGAGAAACAAAGACTAATGGAAAATATATGAAAACATATTTTATATCTCATATTGTTTTGCTTACAATTTTTGTTGCCAATAAAATCAGTTTTTAACAGTGATGAGTCAAACTTGTGTATTCTCAAACCCTCAAATGCTTACTGGTGTTCATCAGTTAAACCACCCTACTCGACTGCTAAACTATCTTCTAAAGATGTCCCTGTCCACTTGTGCATTCACTCTGACAATAACTACATGACAAATGCCATGGTGCCAGAAAATATCAACAAATTGCACTTGCATATCCAATAGGAGTGGACTTTGTTTCTTATGTTGTTTGAAATAGCTAAATTTTACTATTCTATGTTTTAAATGATAATCTACACTGAATAAAATGGGAGAGCAGCCCACCACACTTGTTACATTGGTACGCTTCCCTTATTTCTTTTCACAATGGTCAATTGTCAAAAATTACCTAATATGGTTAAAGTAATGGAACACTTATTTGAGTTCCTTAAAAACAAAATTCAAAGAATATTCAATATCTACATTTATAGTGGTGCTTTGGTTTACGAACTTATGTTGTTCTATGATTTTATAAAAGATGGTCACGTTGTGTTTGTATGGGAAAGATGGTCATGATAGTGTTTGTCACCTGATGCAGTGTTTGCAAATGTATAACATTTTGCCATGTGCTTTTTTTGGGAACCAAAGTATCACTGTAGAATCAATATAGTCCCGTAAATTCTACCTATAAAATATAGCACAGGTCTACCTGCTATTTTTGCTGGCTGCCTCAATGACTACTCTCCTAACTACAGAGGACTCTTCATCCTCCTCTTTCCCAATTATCTCTTTGCTTACCAGTCATAGTGTTCTTAAAATGTAAAATGGCTCATTTTACTCATTGATGGATATCTCCCAGCTCCTATTTTCTTGGGATAATACTCAAGTCCTTAGTGTTTTTTTTTTCTCTCCTTCCCCTTCATAGAATCTGATTATTGTCTTTCAGATCTCTCGTTCTGCAATTCTCTCTATGCTTGGTAAATTCTACTTATCCTGGACTGAATTCTTCACCTCAAGCTCATTTCTCCACTGCTCAGGGAGTTTCTCCTACTTTCAATGTGCATCTTTCTACTCCTCAGATTTATTTCTTTCTCTTCCCTAACAAAGAGGCTAAATATCATCCCAAAGCACACGCATTTCCAACTTTCCTATTCTGGTTATGTGGTGTCACTGCTCATCTACAGAATTTCAACAACCATTATAATTTTTTATTAATTTACTTTTTGTACTCCATAAAGATACAAAACATGTCTGCCTGCATTAGCACTTTTCTCTACCTAAATTTTATATTCATCAAAAAATAATGCAAGAGAAAATGCAACTTATTTTCAATTTAAGGTCTTTTTAAACATTGACATCTATTGAAATCATAAGCTTAATAGATAGCTATAGATATATAAGATATTTAATCTTTCTGTGGGTATAGAATTTGATTACTAACAATGTACACTGAGCCAATTCAAACTATTTTGATTACTGAAATACATACATCAATCTCCACCATGTTTATACCCCCAATAAATGCTGAGGGAAGGGTACAAATAAGATACTTGCTAGGATTTGTTGACATATAGTGTGACTTATGCACTCAAAATCTATCTTGACTTAACGAATTACCCATGTAATTAATTGTCTTCATACCGGGCATGGTGGCTCACGCCTGTAATCCCAGCACTCAGGAGGCTGTGGCAGGAGGATCGCTGTGAGTTGGAGACCAGCCCAGGCTACAAAGTAATCTCAAGGCCAGCCTGAACTGCACAGTGAGACCCTGTCTCAAAAAGGCAAAAAAAAAAAAAAAAAAAAAAAAAAAAGTAATTGTCTTCATAAACATGAGTACACACTGAGAGATGCATCAACTGGGCTAAACATATTTTTGCTAAAGCAGAGTAATTTTTTAATAAATGGACCTCTGGTGTCTACCAATTATTGTAACATGTATATTCATAGTTGACTTGCACATGAAGCAAGACTGTATTTCATATACCTCAGAACTCAGTACAGAAATAAAACATTCTAGATTTTGAGGAGATAAAATCTGAGTTTTAAATAAGTTAGACACCTAATTAATACTGTGTCTTTAAATATATGGAAAATTAAGGCAATAAGAAATATAAATACACATGCTTTCACTTAGAAAAATGATCTATGAAAAAACATTACTTTCTGATTGATTCAAGGAGGTTCAGGTAATACAGTAAAATTGATTTATTTTGACTATACAACACACAGCTTTACAGTCTGTTGGAAGATAAGAGATCCTTCCTATAGTCACATTACTCTTAGTATCATTTAAAAGAACGAGTAGTTCAGTTTTTTATTCATTGTCTTATTTGACCCTGTCTCAATTATAAAAACTGGAATTAGAAGAAAGGGGTAAAGATGCCTAATACACTCTTTCTGCCATTTTACTTAATTTGTTAAAACTATACACACAATACTAAAAATCTGTCACAGTTGTTAAAGAGACACATAACGTAATTTTATCCGCCATAAACAAATTTTAAAAGTAAACATTAGTAGAAACATGGAAAATGTCCTTTTGAAAATAATATTAGTGATATTTTTGTGCAAGAAATTTAACTTAAACATGACATTAATCTTTCAACATTGTATATATAAAATTTTATAATATCCCATGTCTCAGATGTACAAAAATTGATATTTTAAGTATTCATAAAATTACAAATTTAAAAATATTCCTATAATGTTCATAAGAATAACACTAAAAGGTTGATACTTAACCATTTTTGTGATGTCTTCAGTGTTTAACACTTAACTACACTTATCAGGCACAATTTCTAACCACTATAATTTAGGTTGTAAGAAGCATTTTATAGTGAGGCCTTACTAATTATTTTTATAATGCAGTGGGGGGGGGGGATATAGCTCAGTGTGAAGGCCCTGGGGGTAGTGTAAACAAGAAATGAAGACAAACAAAAAATATACAAATAAAAATATGATTATATTTTCTCTACAATTTTGTTTTGCAGAACCCGAATATCATAGAATTTAACCTTTATTTTTTATACAAGTGTACTCCTATGCATAACTTATGTTTTCAGTATGTTAATACAAATTACAAACTTTAGTATATAGTATTTAACAATTCTGTTCAAGTAATGAAAAATCGTGCACTATTCATTTAACATGAACTTCAGTTACTTTATAAAAATAAACTATATATTTGATATTTGTTTTATGTAAAACATTATTAAATTACATGGAGAAATCATTAAAAGATAAATATTATCTGAGATGTTAAAAAATAGCATTAGTTGGCTTTTAAATTCAAAATAACTATCTGAGAAGTGATACTTTAATATTTCGATGGAATGACACTTGTGGAGACTCACATGTATGTTGTGTTCATACTAATAAATCCAGTACCTAGAGTGGCTGTTCAAGCTTCAAAGGTACTAAATATTTAGAAAAATTGTTACGTGGGAATGTTAAGAACTTCTAGCAAAGTTGATTATCAAACAATACAGCACTTTATCATTCATAATGATATAAAACAATAATCTAAATGTCAGACGTCTCAAGTATTAAAAATTGTTTTCTCCCATAAAAAAACAAAATAATTACATTATTTTTAACAATCCTCTATTTTCTTTAACTACCTCTTTGATTACGAACACCAACAGTCCTTGAAAACAAACAAGGGACACGGTATGAACATATATGGCACTACAGGAGTGTGACACTACGATGGTCATCTTACAGGTGATTTCCAAATTCACACATGCATTTATAGGTGCATTCTGTCAGGTGAATAATAATTAGAAAAACATACTAATTGCATAAGTGAAAAATGAACAGCTATTCTGAATTCTACATAAAATATTAGAAAACATGATATGGTTGTACAGATACGAAAAAAATCTATACTGTTTCGCTTTCCCTCTCTCAATCTTCTCCTGTTCCCATAAATACTACAGTATAGAATCCCAAGTAATCTGACCTCCACTTTTACATCTGCAAATTAATTAAAGGCCCTGAAACACATGAGCTGTATGTTAAATGGCAGCTCTAACTGACCACAGGTGTTTATATTTAAAGCCTTTAGAAAACCTCACAGACAGGGGTGGTCATCATAGCAGGTTGCAAAACTTTTTATGGTTGTTCCATACTTAATTTAATGAGATTTAGAATATAGAGGTGATGTTTTTGTAGATCTTTAAATATCCAAATACCCATGACAGAAAACCAAATCAATGTTTTATAAAGATTGTGTAAATAAAAGGAAAGAAAATACTCTTTAAGATTTTGTGTTTTCCACTTCCCTCACGCACTCCACCACTTTACTCAAGGAAACAAAGTCCTTAAAAATCTGACAGTGGTCTGCCTTTTTGACTAGGATATTCACAACTTGGAAAATTCACACTCAACATTTACCTACCTCCCTCCCTCACAAAACAGAAAATACAACACAGATCTGTGAGCATCTGGTCTAGGAATAATTTCAAAGCAATCTACATTCTGTGATCTAGAGTGGGCTGAGTGAGACCAGGCAAGGGAGCCAGAGTCAGGCACCAGGCTAACAAGTGCCCCAGGGTACAGCAAGAAGAATCTATATCTTATCCAGTTATGTGCAGCAGCCCAAAGGCAGGCATCTCCGTTAAGTGTGTGCCTTGGAGTCTGACCTCTGCTGGAGGCTGCGTAGGGGTCTGTCTGCCCTTTAGCCCGTGAAGGGACTTAAGTGCTGCTGATGCTTATGCACCCATTCAAAGAAACCTGTGCACACACGAATCACAGCTCCTAGGGCCGCTGTCCCGGACGGTGCAGACTGAGTGTTCAGGTCAAGGAACACATATAAGGTGAGCCCTGGAGAAGCTGACCCGAGACAAGTTGGCCGCAGCAGGCCGACAGTACACAGCGCGCGAAGGACCGTCCTCCTCCCTCTCTCGCTTCTGACCCTGTCCCTTTCTTTGGTTGTTGGAGACGTGACTACAGTAGCCCGGCCAAGCTGTCCTCAGAGGCAAAAAGAAACCAAATTGCCAAAGAAATTCTCGGACTTCGCAGCCCCCCATGGCTCTCGCTGGCTTCTCTCTCCTTGTGTGAAAGAAGTGGAAGCGGAGCGGCCAGGCGTTGTGGGGAGGTTGGGGGTCCTGGTCCACGTCTTCCTCCTCCTCCCCTTCCTCCTCCTCCTCCCTTCCTCCTCCTCCTCCCCTTCCTCCCCTTCCTCCTCCTCCTCCTCCCCTTCCTCCTCCTCCTCCCCTTCCTCCCCTTCCTCCTCCTCCTCCTCCCCTTCCTCCTCCTCCTCCTCCTCCCCTTCCTCCTCCTCCTCCTCCCCTTCCTCCCCCTCCTCCCCCTCCTCCCCTTCCTCCTCCTCCTCCCCCCTTCCTCCTCCTCCCCCCCTTCCTCCCCTTCCTCCTCCTCCTCCCCCCTTCCTCCTCCTCCTCCTCCTCCCCTTCCTCCTCCTCCCCTTCCTCCTCCTCCTCCTCCCCTTCCTCCTCCTCCTCCTCCCCTTCCTCCCCCTCCTCCCCTTCCTCCTCCTCCTCCCCCCTTCCTCCTCCTCCCCCCCTTCCTCCCCTTCCTCCTCCTCCTCCCCCCCTTCCTCCTCCTCCCCTTCCTCCTCCTCCTCCCCTTCCTCCTCCTCCCCTTCCTCCTCCTCCTCCTCCCCTTCCTCCTCCTCCTCCTCCTCCCCTTCCTCCTCCTCCTCCTCCTCCCCTTCCTCCTCCTCCTCCTCCCCTTCCTCCTCCTCCTCCTCCCCTTCCTCCTCCTCCTCCTCCTCCCCTTCCTCCTCCTCCTCCTCCCCTTCCTCCTCCTCCTCCTCCTCCCCTTCCTCCTCCTCCTCCTCCTCCTCCTCCTCCTCCTCCTCCTCCTCCTCCGCCGGCCCGCAGGGGGTCTCCCCCGGGCGCCCACCGCGCGAGGCCCCGGGAGCAGGGCACGAGGGTCCAGGCTGCCCAGATGCGGTGGCAGCCGCTTCGGAGCTGCGGCTGCCTGAGGCGCCGGGGACCTCCTGGAGGCTGGCGGCGAGGGGAAACGCACTCACCTCAGTGTCCCACCCCCGCGAGGACTATTCACTCGGGTCCGGGAGAGCGCACGCGCAGGAGCGAGCTCGGGCTGTGGTGTGGGGGCGGGGCCGAGAGGGCGGGGGCGGCCGATTCGCGGGCGGGGTGGGGGCGGGGCCGACCGGGTGGTCCGGGCAGATCGGGCGGCCTGAGCCCCTCTCCGGACAGAGGCGGGCTGTGCGGGGCTGCGCGGCACGGAAGCAGAGCGGAGGCGGGCAGCGAGAACTTTCCTCCGGCCGCTGCGAGGAGAGCCAGGCGGGGGCTGCCGCCGCGCGGGGCGGCGAAGGGTCCGAGGGAGCTGCGAGCTGGGTGCTCAGCCCCGCGCCTGAGCGGCGTCGGCAGCGGCTTGCAAGGTGGGCACCTCGGACTCGGCTGCGCCCGCGCTGCGCCCAGGCGGTGCGAGCGGCTCCCCGACGTCTCCGAGGCTGCGCTCAGTCCCTGAAGCACTTAGCCCCCATTTTGCAGCTGCAGCGCTGCCGACCTTGACTCCCCTTCACTTCCCATTTCCGCCGCTGGAAGAGATACTCTTTGAAACCACCCACCCCAAGTCCAGAGCTCTAGGCGCGCAGCTGGAGAGGGCCCCCGGGGTATGCAGGGCCCCGGGGTATATATTATCTTGGCCCCCTGCCGGAAGCGAGAGCTGGAGAAGGGCGGGCGCAGCGCAGCTCTGCCCAGTCTGGCGCTCTCCCGCTTGGCGGCGTGGCTTGTATCTCTGTTCAGCGCTGGAGTGGGTAGTAGACCGCAAAATTTTTTAAATATGAGTTTTAAACAATATGAGTACAAAGCGCCAAGAAACTTTTCTTAAAATTAGATTAAAAGAATATTATAACAGAAGAAAGAGGGGAAGAAACAGAAGAAAAAAGTTTTAAGTTCATTTCCAAAATTCATTATTATTTACAAACCATAGTACCATATCTGAAATATAAACACATACTTCAAAGTAACAGTAACAATTGACTAAAACTAAATTTCTCTCCTTCCTCCACTATAACTACAGTTCTTTTACTATTCACAATATTTTTTTTAAATAAGCCACAGTCAAGCTTGTCATATTAAGTATTTCTTGGATAGCTAGTTGGTAGTCATATGGTAAGGTTTTAAAGAAAAAAAATTTCTCAATATAGAAACACATTTCATAGAAAAAGTTTAGAGATGTTTAAACAGTATCAATTATATATCTGAATGCAGTACGGTATCAATTATCTGTTTAATAAAACTCATCTCAAAAGGTGAATTGGCATATAATAATCATCACTTTTGACTATAACAAGATTATGTGAATTTGACATACTGTGTTTTCAAAACATGATTGCAAAAGGAATTACTATAACTATTTGAGCATTATTGTGTTATATTTGTTAAACTCTTCTTAGGAACACAATTGTCTGGCATACTACTCCTGATTCTATTGTGATAATTATATATTATTGCTGTCATATGATATATTAGAGTAAAAGAAAAAGTATATGGATATATGCATAATGCACCTATCATGTTTATAAAACATTTATGTGCAGTTAAGTGAAAACATCCTTTTCAGTACTTTTCTAATTCAGTAACTATTTACCAAGCAAGATTTTCATGTACATTTATGCCACGTACTATGCAGAAGTTACAAAGATTATTTGCGTTTAGCTCTGATATCTCAGAGGTTTTATCATATTGCAGAGCACAGACACATGGATTGTATTATTCGAATAGAAATGATTCTGTATAGTGCTATCATGAAATTCCAAATTATTAGATAAGAAGAAAGGAATCAGACTCTTTCCTTCTAAGGCCTGAATCTCTATAGTTACTGCTTTTGTCTGAAGTAAACATGCTTTTGGCATACGTTGGAGAAGCTATCCTCTGAAGGTTTGTCTATGAACTTTTACAAATGTTAAATCCATGCTAAGGGCTATGCACAGTGTAGTTCAAACTTACATTTTTAGTGAAATTGACTTACATCAATGCATATCAGGTATCCTCGAAAAGTAATTTACCTACAAATACAAAACTTTTCAAAATGTATTTAAATTTATTTATGAGTAGCATGTTATTTAGTATCTCTTTCATGTACCAGGATGGCCAACTGTATCAAATAACATTCTTTTCTTTGAATAATAATATCATTAAAGAACATTTTCTAAATATCAATGGAGTATTTTCTAAATAGCAAAGAGGGAAGATATCTTTACAATTTTTTGTATAGTGAAAGATTTCTGATTATTTCCATTATAACAAGTTTCACAGGATTATTGCTATTAATTTCTATTCAACTATTCAAAATAGACAGCTAATCAAAATATACCTTATATTTTATCTTGCATTTTTTCTACATTAAAATAATTTATACCTTATTTCATAAAAAGATAAGATTTTTGAAGAACTCTTTGTTATGTCAAATACTTAAATGTTAAATTTATTAACTAATTATGTATTTGAATAAAATTATCATCTAAATATTCTAGTTATTTTGATACTGATAATGCAAGGTATTCTCTTTTGCTACACTAAATCTTGTATGATTTAAACATGCTAGATCTACAGAAGGAATTCCGAATGCATCTTGTGAATTGGACTTCTTGAGTAAAATTCCTTCTTAAAATATTTTAGTGGTTTATAACAGGTACCTGGTTGTATTTTGGCTCTAACTTCTATATTTTTTACATATTATATTTATAAATAAAACTATGAATCATGAGAGCCATTTTATTATATATAAAGTTAACAACAAAAATACAATAAATCCTTGACATGTCCAATGTGCCTTTGAAGTGAGGAGTTCTGTATCAATTTAATCATAGCATGTTTGCTTTTCTATGGCTATTAAAATGATTTTAAATATCATATTTATTAGACAACGAAAAATTTTGTGGGACTCACTTATACAAGTGCTCATTTGACAACTAGTATATGTTTTCTCATATGCTTCCCTAAATTTGATACAGACACAATTAAAAACTTAAAACATTCAAAAACAAGAAACATTTCTTTTGCATCTCTACCAAGTATTAAAAAATGAGTTATTTAAATAAAAATTACATTTAATTTTTTTCTCAAGTTTATCATCTCTGTAAGTCTTTTCATAAAATATAATTCAATTCTTGGCCTATTCCAGCAACAAAAGTATCTAATTATCTCTGTCAATCATTAAATACTTCTATTGAAAACATTTGAATCAATCTGTGAATGTAACTTTACAAATTACTATATGTAAATAATGTATGTTACATCTTGTGCCGAAGCTGAATTTATATGAAAATGATATTTTGCTCCTCAGAGAACTACAGTAAAGTTAGTATACTTTAAAGTTAGTATGAGAAGAGTTTTAAAAGTCTATTGAAATTTATAGTATTTGGAATTAAATTATGACATCATTGTTATTTTCACAGTTGAAAATAAAATTTCCTAAATTTATGCAATAAAACATAATTGCTTGATTGACTTAGGCTGCTACTAATTTAAAGTCAATGCCTATTGTATATTTATTTGAGCCTAATTATTTTTACTATGCCTCAAAAATATAAAAATATAAGATATATATTTAGAATTTTTTAGTGTTTCTGTCCCATTCTAAATAATGGAATGTTTCTTGCTCATTGAGATTTTGTTCAGTTTTCAAATTAATATCACTGTAGTATTTATCCCAAACAAATGCTATATACTAGGTTGATCAAATAATATTTTCTGTTATGTTAGAAATACATCGGAAGCTCTGTTAAATAGAGTCACCACCAATTTCAGATACCTTATGAAGATTTAAGTGTTTCTAGCATGACTCAGAAGCTGACTTTTTAGTTTTAGATTTGTTTGTTTGTTTTAGTTTTAAATGCTATACCCATGTTTGGTAGTAGCAGCTGCCTTACATTACACTGTCACCACTTTTCAATATTTCCACCTTGATAGCAGGGGAAAAAATTAAAGTATTTTAAAACTATCGAGAATACATTGATCACAAACGTATGTAGTACCACTTTCTACAAGATCAGCTAATAATTTGGTTTTTGGTACTGGTGAATCAATCCAGGGCCTTTCCACTAAGTTACAAACTACCACCCTACTCTGTTTCTGAGTTGCCCAGGCTGGGCTGGAGCTTTCTACCTCCTGCCTCAGCCTCACAGCTCATTGAAATTACATGCTTGAACCATCACACCCAGCTCAATACAGCTAAATTTTAATATAGAAAGTCTGTGACACAAAAATATTTAGCACAGTTGTGTTTATAGAGAACAAAAATAAAGCTCACTTCCTACGATAAGTCTGTTATTGTGTGTATACACTGCCTTCAAAACTAGCCTGATACGATGTGCTTTTTGCGTATTACATTGAGTTGATTAAAAGACAAGAAAAGTATTCACTGTGGTAGAAACTCAACAATCTTTACAATCTTTAAATATTTTAATTATGAAATACTTACCTAATATGACTAATTTTGAGCACTACCCATTGTTAAAATGCTTCAAGAGCCACTATAGTCCCTGGTCAGCACATTATGTCTATCTCACAGCCCATGTCCACAAAATTACAGAGAGAGGAAAGACTCAGTAATAGTTTATCGATTAGAAAATCAATTTCCTCCTGGGAGATTTGTAAGGAAGTAGAAAGATTTTTTTTATTTAGTTGCTAATTTGTCTTAGTTTTTTTGTCATTGTTGTCCTTTCACTTTTTTGACTTTTTGATTTACATAAGAAAACATTGTGAGGTTCACAGATATTTTAAAATAAATGAGGGCCAGAGAATCTGTTTACTATGGTTTCATATATGTGTGTGTGTGTGTGTGTGTGTGTGTGTGTATAGTCCTCATTTTTGTTACTTGATGGTTTCTTTCCATAGCTTTAATTTGTTGTAAGCAAAATTAAATCTAATAAACAAAATTAAATCTAATAAAACTCATCTAAAGCAATCTTCAAAGTATAATAACAGTATTAATTTTATATTGATTGCAATTACATAGTATTTACTATAACAGACACTGTTCCGAATACAAATATAATTTCAGGTACTAATTATAAATACTAATAACCAATATGAACTCATTTGATCCTTGAACAACATTCTGAAATATTTGCTATTATTATCTCCATTTAATAGATTAGAAAGTCGAAGCATAAAACTTGCCCACATTTACCCAGAGTTGTTAGTAAAGCAGGGAAGTTAGAGTCCGAAGTGTGGCTCCAGGAGCTCTGCCTTTTATTGCTGTGCTACCTACTTTTTCCATGAATGCTGACCTGAGTTTATATAAACATGCACATATCTGTGTATTCATCTGAATGATTTATTGGCTCCATAAAATTAAGCTCAAATCACGAATTTTCATTGAAACCCTTCCCAGTCGTGACTAAGTGCCCATATCACCTCATTCTTCTTTCCCATTCTAAATATTTACACATTTAGGACTCTTGAAGGATACTCTATTTTCCCATAAAGTGTTTCTCTGAAATGGCAGCTGTCACCAAAAGTATGAGCTCATCCTTATTCAGCTATCCTGTTTTGTCCAGCATATGAACATTTTTCAGAGCACTGGATACTTGTGATGAATGAAACATACAAAAGCTTACTCTCATAGAACTTACAGGGTTAACGTGTGTTTATCAAGTGACTTACACTGCTCTAAATGGAGCATCATGCTAGCTCACATATTATTCACAGTCATGTACTTAGGTATTTTTTGTGCCTATTTTACCACTGACAAAGCCAAAGT